TTTACTTAGAAATATTCTCAGGTTCATAATGACTCAGTAGAACAACACTAATGATATATTTTGATGTTGGTAATAGTGTTGAATATTGTGTTGTAATTTTCTAAAGTATGACTCAAAGAGTTATTAACAAAAGCATAACATGGAGAGACCATGATGTAGTTTTCCCACTCTTTTTAACCTTGGTCAGGACTTCACTGGATTATGTGGCCAATTTAGAGTCATGCAAGTCGTATGTGAAGATCTTGAGCAAGTTCCGGAGGCCAAGTAATAAAAATTATTAGCTTGGTTAAAGAGCCCTATTAGCAAAGCCCAGGGGGACAGGGTTTGTTGAGAAGCAGAAGAGATCTGTGATTAGGATGAAAAAATCAGGAATATCAGCCATTATTGTAGTATTTCTCTAAGTGTGCACCAGAGCCATAGGCATCAACATCACCTGAGACACATGTAAGAAATACAAATCTTGGGAAAAGCCCAAACCTACAAAACCAAGTTTCTGTTGAGGGAGGGGAAAGCCCCACAAGGATTATAAACACTGAAGTGGAGAATATTTCTGTCAGAGGTTCTCAGCCTTCATTGTACGCTGGAATTACCTGGAGACATTTCTCAGAGATTCTGATTAATTGGTCTGGGCTAACTCCAAGACACCCAAATTAAAAGTTCCTCAGATGATTGTAATGTACACCCAAATTTGACAACCTCCACTTTGTGCTAAAATATAACGTACAAATGCCAGCAAGCAACTGTCCAACTTCCATTGAATAGTTGAGAAATATGTTTTTTAAGTTTGTAAACACTTTAACCAGATAATTCCTTAACAGGCATTGTGTCATCTTTCCAACATAAATGCATTTTATTTTCATAAGTGATGTGCCTGTTCTCTTAAACAGGACCTGAGACTCAAAGTCATTGTGAACAAAGTTATTATTTTCTCAGTTCTGGAGACCTTACTCTGCCTTTCATTCTGGTTTTCCTCACACAGTGACTGGGAGGTATGATAAAGAAAAAGATGATAGAATGCTATTTAACGATGTGTATGTCAGAGCCCCTTGGTCCTTGCTGTGGTCTTCCTATTCTCAGTGGTCTGGCATTGCCTTCAACTCCAGGTACCAAATCTGGTCACTAGAGTTGAAGATGATGAGTACAAGTTTATTTGAAGACATCTTTGCTCAGAACCCAGAAAACCAGTGCTTCCCAGTTGGGGAGATGTCCTGGTGGTTATCAAGTACAGCAGACAATTCCTCCATATAAGAAGGACAATTACTCTGCTGATATTAGCCATTTGTGTCTTAAATTAAATTGAAGTCCATTACCAGGGACTTTTGCATTCTGGACCTTATCTGATTATATGATGATATTAATTGGTCCCTGAAGGTACTAGACTGCATTTCTGGTAAAGGTTCATCACTTATACTTTTGAAATTAGGCTTTAGATAACCATCTTTCAGTATAAATGTGAAATTTTGCACATTATCTTCTTTTAAATGGTAAAATACACATAACATAAAATGCTCTATCTAAGCCATTTTTATGTGTACAGATCAATAGTGTTAAGTACATTCACATTGTACAACAAACCTCAAGAATTCTTTGTATCTTGCAAAACTAAAATTCTTATTCATTAGACAACAAATTCCCATTCTCCCCTCCCCACAGCTACACATTATCTTTTGAACAGGTGAGTTGTCAGTTTAATCTCTTTAAAATTCATTGATCTACTTAGTTTTAGCCATATCTGCCAGTCCAGTCTTACAAAATAGTTTCTATGTCATTGGATTGGTCCACATATCACTGAGTGAGCTAAGACATCACTTATTCCAAAAGGAAGTACATTCTGATTTTTCTTTAAGTAAAATGTCCATTTAAGAAAGAATAAAAATGAAATACTATAAACTGAATTTCTCTTGAGAGAAAATCTAAAAGTTTGGTAATACCCATGCTAGAGTAACAATAACTGTCAAATATCAGTGTAAGAGAAAATCAGTTCAACAGATTAAACAATCTCCATCAAAATTTAAAATGTAGATATCTTTTCAGCGATTATTCAACTGCCAAGTCTTTACAGATATATTCATAAAAAATAAAAACAACTTAATCATTATTCAATTGGGGACTGGTTAAATACTTACAGTATACTATATAATGAAATATTATTGCTGTTGCTGTTTGGTTGCTAAATCGTGTCTGACTCTTTTGAGACCCCATGGACTGTAGCCTGCCAGGCTCCTCCATACATGGAATTTCGCAGGCAAGAATACAGGAGTGGGTTTCCATTTCCTTCTCTAAGGCATCTTCCTGACCATCTTCCTGATCTAACCCAGATCTCCTGCATTGGCAGACAGATTCTCTACCACTGAGCCACCAGTGAAGCCCAGTGAACTAGTATACAACTGTTAAAAACAAGGTGATAGCTCTGAGTGTGCTGATATGAGAAGATCTGCAAGTATATTATTTTAAATATATATAATGAAATGAATATGAAAAAATGTAATTACATACACACACACACACACACACACATATAGGTGTCTGAGAATATTGTCTTTCCTGGAAGGAGAAACATGCTGTTGTTAACAATTGCCCCTTTGGGAAAATAGGCTGGTTATTGGGGAGGGGTGTCAGAGGGAAGGAACACACCTGTTTTTCATTTGTACCTCTCAGTACAACTTGAATGTTTTAAAACATAGGCTTGTATTACTTTAAAAGCATTTTAAATATCAGCATAGTTATCTAGTCAATGAGATTGTGGAACATTTAAACTTTACTGTTTATCATTTTCTTTATATAAAAAAGTATATTTTTAAAACCTCTGTTCATATGAAAATCAAAATATAACAAAATATGAAATTTTATTTCATAATTTAGATATTTGGGCAAATAATTATTTTCATAACCAGTTTAAGCCATGTAGTTTTCCATGTTTTATGTCTCTACAATAAAAAACCAAAGCAAACTAAATCAACCAAGAAAACTGTATTTTCTTTTTTGAAGAGACAATAAATGACATTTACTAAAAATCCCATTTCCTTCTTAATGTTCTGCAAACTGTCTCTGTAGAAACTGTAATTTTATTACTTTTTTAAGCTTTAGTACAAGATTCATCATTTTCTATAGATTTTGCTTAGACAGTTTTACTCAAAGATCCTATTGTTCCCTTGAATAGAATATAATATCAAGGGATCCCTCAGGATATGAGACACTTGAAGATTATCCTTGCAGTAAGGTTATCTTGTAATAAGATTGCCGCTTTTTCTTCTCCTAGTCCTGGGAGTTAAACTTTGTCACAAGTGAAAATATTCTCCTTTTCTTGGGTTAAAAAGACAGTCTTAATATCCGTATGTCTAACATTCAGTGCAGCAGAACATAAGGCCTTGCTACCTCTGGAAAGAAGCTCAGTATTTCCATATATACCACCCATCAAAAGTCACATAAGAAAATGTTTCCTTTTTTACTGTTGTAAACTGGACATGTGATATTGATTATCTGCTTACTAGAGTTAACATAATGTTTGTCTCCAGGCAAGAGTAAACACAGCGAGAAGCTATGCAAATCAATGCTGTTATGTAAATCAACAAATAAGCCTTACTGTTGTTATCAGTAAGTTGTTACCAGATCAGTTCTTAACTTTTAAAAAGAAGATGGTTTTGCTTAAACTGGGTCACTTTGAAAGACAGTAAACAAAACTCAAACTCACTATTTACCAGAATATTAGAGTAACAAAAAAGCCTGAGCTACTTTGTATAATTTTAAATAGTGTTCCTAATAGAACTCATCCTACTTTGTCCCAGCATAAAAATGCAGAATGTACTTATTTAAGAGTTGAGTAATAGTCATTGGAAAATAAATTTCTGGCAAATGTACAAACTATGTGTGGTTCCCATAGAATTAAACAAAAATAGATCTTGTTCAAAATAACAATAAAAATCCCATGGGATTGACTAATAAAAGATGGCTGGCACAATTTGAATTCCATGACAAGGGCTAACATAAAACTTTTAAAAATGGTAACAGTAGAATCATTTATCATTTTTTGTAGCTGTGGCAGTCATCTTGGAACAATCCTGGTGACCAGAGCTTCAGAGAACTCAGGCTACTGACCACACTGGAAAAAGAAAAGTTTCTCAGTGTTTTCAGTTTTTAATAAACTAACAGTGGGCCATACAGACACCACAGACTTAGGTTTTGTGCTGATTAGAAAAGAATCATTCCTTAATTACAATTTGTCTGTGTGCTAATGTTTCTAAAATCTTATTCCATGGGTCAAAGGTTTTTCTTGCCATTGCTACTGAAAGGCAAATTCGAGTGCCCCACACACAGGGAGGCCAAACAATACCAAAACATGAGAGTTTGGAACAGGGAGAGGTTTACTGAGGGCCATGCAAGGAGATGGGTGGTTCATACCTTAAAAACCCCAAACTTCCTAAAAACTTTCAGCAAAGTTCTTTTCTAGGAAAGGTGATGGTGGGGTGTGGTTAGTTGTTGCGAATTTCTTGGTGTCAGAGCCTTTATTTGTGAGGTCAGGTCATGGTCAGGTAATAATGTTCCTGTAAATCTCCACCAAATGAATGTTGTTCTCTGTTATGACAAGAAAGAGTCAGGCCCCCAGGCATAGCTTTCACCCTCTGAGGTCCAGTCCTGGCTAAGAGGAAGCAGATCTCAGCTGGAAGCTTCCTGGCTGCCATTGCTGAGGAAGTCAGGCACCCAGAGCCCAACTGGCCCTCAGGCTCCTCAAGCTGCCCAGAAGCTGGGGCCAGGTCCCATCAACTGCGTCCTGTGCAGACTGCTGCTGCCATTAGATCACAGAGGCGGGGATGGAGGGGAGGTTCACCACCACCTCAAGGACTGAGCCAGTCCAGCAGGCAGCCTTGGCCAGGGCTGGAGCCCTTAGGACACAGCCCTCAGCCTGTCTCTGGGCAACCTCCTCCCCACCCGCCTTGAGGCTGCAAGCTTGAGGCTGGGTGAGCTCGAGGGCCCCAGGAAGAATGCCAGGATCTGCCTCTTACCTCACTCTCTACCTAATGACCACCATTCCGCCAACAGTTGGTTGAATTCTCTCAGTAACGGTCACTCCTTGACAGTTGGTGGCTTGGAAGGGCCCACTGCAGCGCCGACCAATGATTGAGCGGGACCTGTTGCCTGGTAACAGGGTGGGGCGTAATGGCGGCATAGTCACTGTATTGCGGTAAGGGCTGCGCTTGACCACACTCTGTTACACAATCAGATTTTAAAATAAGAATAATGTGATCAGAGTATATTGTTTGTTACGTTTTCTTACATTAGAATGATAAATATCCCATCAGATCTTAAGTTCACTTTGTTTACTGTAAATACAGCATAGTCCCAAACCCCTTCCACTGTCGTGTAATTTTTACTATATTAGCAACTGATTTATAACCATAGCTAAATGGTTATGTAGTTTTTATTTCTTTACAAGAGTTTTCATATATCAAGCTCAGTAATCAGGAAAAATCCTTTATCCTGAATATGTGTCTTAAAAAATAATAGTCATTTAAAATAAACGAATGATTCCAATGTGCCTACTTTGTTCTCTGGGAAGAGACTCCTAAGAGATATTAGAAGGAAAAGACTCCAGTAAGGAAAACATAAAATGCAAACAATCTATATATGTGTATAAGTGTCAGTTAGCTGGTTTGCCCTTGGAAATATCTGGATGGAGTTATTCCCCACGCTCTAATCCTTTCTAAAGAGAAGAAAAAAAATTCTGCTTGCTGCTATTGCTAGGACAAGTGACCAGGTCCATCTGGGTCCCAACAGACTAGAGAGGAGTTCTCTACAAGACCTCACTCTTACTAGTGGGCTGGGCTCCTATCTCCCCATCTCAATGGTCTTTGAGTGGCAATGGAGGTACCACAGAGTCACAGCTAATATCAGGGAAAATGTCTCTCAAAAGTGGACATCTCCACAATATGTGTGGCATTGTTACTGAGATGTATGGTGACAGAGCAGAAAGAACATGTATTTTTATGTTAGAACCCCCTAAACTCAAAATCTTGGGTCTACCTTTTCCACCTGTGTCATCTTGTACAACTCATTTATCTAAGCCTCAGTTTCTGTATCTATAAAGCAGGGATAATAATTATTTCATAGATTTTTGGAGAGAAGTAAATGCAATTACATTTTTAGTGTGTCTTACACATAAAAATATAAAAGCATAACTGCTGTAGAGTCACATTGGACCCAGTCCTTGAGGCAGTGGCCAGACAAGACATGAGAAATGCCTCCTTCCTGACACAATATAGAAAAGTATGATTTCTGAGAGACTGTAAGAGAGATGTCCACCATGCTTGTGGGAACCCATTGGGGTTTGCCTTACTAATGGCAGAAAGAAAACTAGTTAGAATAGACACCATTCTCTTTTCCACCCTGAACTCCTGACACTGGGCTAGCAAATGCTTGAAATTCACCAAGTAGAGTTTTATCCCTTAGTTAGAATACCCCTGAGAAAGAAAAGACACCAAACCTTTATTCATTATTTTTCCTTTCTGACTCTTAGGAGAAAGGACTTGATAAAATCCTTTCTGGAGATCAGTGAAATAAAGAATAAGGACCATCAGGTAAACAGAAAACAGAAGAGGGAGAGATGACTTGTCAACTTCTCATGGGTCACGTGAAATAGTTCCCTCTGTCCTGGGAATGTTCTCACTATTAACTAGCAAAGAATCCTAGAACTAGTCCTTTAAAGGAATTGTTGTGTTAGCTAGACTTGGAGATGAAATGTCATTTTCTGCAAGTCCTCTATAACTAAGTTGTCTTTTGCTCAAGATGCTGATATAATGACTCACATCCTAGAGGCTTTGGAAGGATATCCCTATGAGATAGTCTACATTCTTAGTGTGGTCATTACATCTTAACCAGAAGTGCAAGTTTGGTTTTTGGGTTTTTTTTTTTGCTGGAAACACTGGAGAACAGAAAGCAATTCAACACTGTTCAACTGCTCTGGAGAAACTGCTGATAACTTCTTTAGTGCTTCTATTTTCCTCTCCTACTGGTAGATCAAGTTCTTCAAGGCCCAGGACTCAGGCTGGCTGACTTCCTCCTGTCTTTATCAGTGTGACTGCAGCAGGAGCTACAGTGGCGGCAGCTTTGATAGCCCTCCCTATCTCTGTCCCTCTTTTCCTAATTCCAAACTTGGATGTGGTCACCCTTTTCCTCTCAGATACACCTATAGAAACATGACAGTTCAGGCTGCTGTTTTGCTGTAATGTAAAACTACATTTTAAGCATTGTAATAAATTCCATGGTATTTGAAATTACTGTATTTATATCTCACATATTATGGATTGTGAGAAAGGTCACCTAAATGAAGATAATATCTGCTTTAAAAAGTCCCTAATGGCGACTATAGTTAACAATACTGTATTATGTACTTGAAAGTTCCTGAAGAGTAGATCTTAAATGTCCTCATCACAAAGAGAGAAAAAAGTCAGGGAGAAGGGGGAGGCAGGTAATTGGATGGAGGTAGCCATAAGGTACAAACTTCCAGTTATAAGATAAATGAATCCTGGGGATGTGATATACAGCAAGATGACTAAAGTTAACACTGCTGTATGGTTTATAGGAAAGTTGCTCTTAAAAAACTTACCTTCAAGCTTCTGAACACGAGGAAAAATCTTTTTTTTTGGTAACTATGAGAAGATATGTACTAACTAAATTTGTTATAGTAACCACTTCACAATACATGTATGTCAAGTCATCATGCTGTAACTTTAAACTTATGTAATGTTATATATCAATTATACCTTAATAAAGCTGGAAAAATCCCTATTTATTGTAAGGATTCAAAAATAGTACTAATAATTCAGCTGATGCTTAAATAGTGGTCTATGTGAGATGTTCCGGAATATAGTTTTTGGCCAAATTATTTTTCTCATTTTGTCCAACATTTGGATATAAACTAAGTTGACATGATTCTCAGGATAGCTGGCACCTTTTGTTCATTGCTCAGTCATGACCTTGAACTTCCTCCATCTCCACTGTCTATAGAACCAAAGAGCAACATGAATACCATGTAGCCTAAGAGCTTCACGTTACCCCAGGAAATGTGGAAACCAAAGAAGCCCATGCTACTCTTGTGTAGCTTGCTCAGAGCCCCTTTCAAGTTCTTCTGCCTTGACTCCTATTGAGCCTACTCCCTAAGCCACCAGTTTATTCTACCTTGATTCTCTAGAAAATAGGTTACTTTAACTTATGACCCAGCTATTGCTAGAAATTCCAAGTGCTTTAGAGACATTTTCCATTCAACAGACAACACCTCTAATAGACCCTGGGGAAACACAGTTCCATTATTGCAACAGGGAAAATTAAGTACACACAGTCGAAAGTATTTGCACATATCAAGCTGTTAAAGCTTCTAAGACAAGGAATCAAAGCCTAATAATGCACTAAAATGTGATTGCTTTGTTTCCTTAGAACCCAAGATTTTGTGCATGGGCCTTCACTGTGAAAGTATAAATGAGGCAATGCTCAACAAAATGAGCTTATCAAAAGTGAGGATAAATACTCCTTAGTAAATGGAAGCAGCTTCCTTTCTGATAGAATTCAACAAGCATGAGGTTGTCACAATTAGAATCAGTTATGTTTTCCAAATTTAGGTGACCTTTTTTAAGTGGAGCAATTGAAGTCTAATTAAACACAAGGAAGCTACAGTTTCACTTAAGAATCAGTTTCTAAATCCAAAAATTATTTCAGCAGCAAAGGTCTGCCCACATTTAATTGAAAAATACTTAATAGAGAAATTTTTTTAATGTTGAACATGCACATGGAAGTATTTGATATATTCTCATAAAAATATATGCAGGGATTTTATTAGTCACTTTTAGATGTCAGTATAAAAGACTTGAAGAATGAAGTCTTTGGTAAAGAATGCTGCAATCAATGTTGTGTGGCAGAAGGAGTTACCTGGTTAGATAGGAAAATAAAAATGTTCATTACTAGACTGTACCTTTCATTTGTGACAGAGGGAAGGGGTGGGGGATCAACCACAGGCTTTTTAGCCAAGATCCACTTAACTTCAGGAATTCCACAGAGAGGATTAGCATAACGGGAAGAACTGAGAAGGATCCAGCATGTTCTTTCCTCTGACCTGATAGAAGCAAGTGAAAGAGTTTCCTCAGGCCTTGTGTGTCTCTATTCACTACTATTCCTCACACTAAGGATGGGTTAGGCACTTAGAAACAACAGTTCTTACACTCAGATGGGACTTAAAGTGTTTTCAAAACATTATCATATCCTCTCTTCTTTTGTCCTCACCCAGCCCATTATCTCCTTTTACCAAATGCAGGCGCATTCAGTCTCTCTGAAATCCAGGCTGCAGCCCTACTTCAGCACCATGTTGAGAGACAACCCAGAACTGCGGGCAGATAGGAGAAAAATATCTGTGCCCACCCCTCACCCCTAGCCCCTAAAAGGTGGAGAGCAGAGCTACAACCTTTGGATCATCATCGTGAGGTTCTTACAAGGGTGGACAATCTACTGGACCTCTGGATGGGGATTAAGGACAGAAGTTTCTATGCTTTCCTGCCCCCTCCATCCCAACTTTGTAGGCTGAGACACTGTGTCAGATTAAGTGGAATGTATGCTGTTGTGAAATAGGCCGTATGAGGTGTCCCGACATTCCAGCTTCACAGAATGGATACAGTCAAGCCCACGGCAGAGTATGTCTAGGGAAATAGACAGAGGAGCCTAGCAGGCTACAGTCCATTGGGTCACTAAAGAGTCGGGCATGACTTAGTGACTAAATAACAACAACAGTCAGTGCAGCTCAGACTGGATCGGTTGTAGCACGCAGAACCCATTATAAGATCCACCATGAAAAACTGGACATTCTTACTCCAAAATGTCCATAGAGGTTAGCTTCACCCCTGTCCTAAATTAAGTCAAAACAAAGCACATTCAACGTTTTCCAAAAAATAAAGCATAAGTGCATTTTATAGATCAAAGATTATCAAGATAACAGCTGATAGTGGGTTTCAGAGAGATATACTTCATTTTGAAATTGAATCAAAATTCACATCTTACCCTCCTGAAAAGAGATTTGCTGTTTTAACCAAAGCTTTATAAGAAAGTTTAAAA